TGAATGAACTCCAGATCATTCGGGAGACTGAGGGGGTGATAGAGAGGAGTTACAGGGAGGTGGTCACACCCAAGGTACAGGAAAAAGGTAGCTGGGTGACTGTCAGAAAGGGGAAAGGAAATAGGCAGACAGTGCAGGGATCCCCTGTGGCCGTTCCGCTCAGTAATAAGTATACCATTTTGGATACTGTTGGGGGGGGTGACCTACCAGGGGAAGGCCATAGCGGACAGGTCTCTGGCACTGAGCCTGACCCTGTGGCAAAGAAGGGAAGTGGGGAGAATAGGAGAGTAATTGTAGTGGGGGATTCAATAGTAAGAGGCACAGACAGGCGGTTCTGTGGACGCGAACGAGATGAAAGGATGGTATGATGCCTCCCGGGTGCCAGGGTCCGTGATGTCTCGGATCGGGTCTTCAAGATCCTTAAGGGGGAGGGTGAGCAACCAGCAGTCATGGTACACATTGGTATCAATGACATAGGTAGAAAAAGGACTGAGAATGTGAAAAACGAGTACAGGGAGTTACGTTGGAAGCTGAAGTCCAGGACAAACAGGGTAGTTATCTCTGGATTACTACCAGTGCCACGTGATAACAAAGTAAGAAATAGGGAGAGAGTGCAGCTAACACGTGGCTACAGGGCTGGTGTAGGAGGGAGGGCTTCCATAATGTGGATAATTGGAGCACATTCTGGGGAAGTTGGGGCCTGTACAGTAAGGACGGGTTGCACCTGAACTGGAAGGGCACAAATATCCTGGGAGGGAGGTTTGCTAGAGCGGTATGGGATGGTTTAAACTAGTTTGGCAGGGGATGGGGAACCGGATTTATAATTCAGAGGATGAGGTATTCGGCCTTCCATCAGACACAACAGGGAGTGAGGTCATTTATAAAGAAGTGTGGTTGATGGAGCGTAATTGCTGACACCGAGATGGTTTGAGGTGTGTATACTTCAATGCAAGAAGTATCAGAAATAAAGCGGATGAACTTAGCCCATGGGTCGGTACTTGGAAGTACGATGTTGTGGCCATTACAGAAACTTGGGTAACTCAGGGAGAGGAATGGATGTTGGAAGTTCCGGGATTTAGATGCTTTAAAAGAAATAGGGAGGGTGGAAAAAGAGGTGGGGGAGTGGCATTGCTAGTCAGGGCAAGTATAGCAGCTACTGAAAGGCAGTTCGAGAATGATATGTCTACAGAGTCAGTTTGGGTTGAGGTCAGGAACAAGAAAGGAGCAATCACTTTGTTGGGGGTTTTTTTACAGACCCCCTAATAGTTGCAGAGAAGTAGAGGAGCGGATTGGGAGGCAGATACTGGAAAGGTGCAGAAGTCACAGGGTTGTAGTCATGGGTGATTTCAACTTTCCAAATATCGATTGGAAACATTTTAGTTGTAATAGTTTAGATGGAGCAGATTTTGTCCAGTGCGTTCAGGAAGGATTCCTGACAAAGTATGTAGATAGACCAACACGAGGAGAGGCCACTTTGGATTTGGTGTTTGGCAACGAACCGGGCCAAGTGTTAGACCTGTTGGTAGGAGAGCATTTTGGCGGTAGTGATCATAACTCTGTTTCTTTCACGATAGTCATGGATAAGGATAGGTACATATGGCAGGGTAAAGTTTATAATTGGGGGAAGGGTAATTACAATTCAGTTAGGCAAGAACTGGGTAACAGAAATTGGGAACAGATGCTGTCAAGGAAGAGCACCACAGAAATGTGGAGATTGTTTAAGGAATGCATACTGCATGTGCTCGCGATGTTTGTCCCTATCAGGCAGAAAAGATGCGGTCGAGTGAGGGAGCCATTGTTCTCGAGAGAGGTCGAACGACTGGTTAAGAGGAAGAAGGAGGCTTATGTAAGGTTTAGGAAAAGAGGAACAGAAAAGGCTCTAGAGGGATACAAGTTAGCCAGGAAGGAGCTGAAGAAAGGGCTTAGGAGAGCTATAAGGGGGCATGAGAAAACCTTGGCGGATAGGATCAAGGAAAACTCCAAGGCTTTTTACACATATGTGAGGAATAAGAGAATGACCAGAGAAAGGGTAGGGCCGATCAAGGATTGTAAAGGGAAGTTGTGCACAGAGCCTAAAGAGATAGGAGAGGTCCTTAACGAATACTTTTCTTCAGTATTCACAACTGAGAGGGACCTAGTTGTAGAGGAGGACGTTGTGAAACAGGCAGGTAGGCTAGAGGAGGTTGATGTTAGTAAAGAAGATGTGCTAGGAATTCTGAGGAAGTTGAAGATAGATAAGTCCCCGGGCCTGATGGGATTTATCCAAGGATTCTATGGGAATCGAGGGACGAGATCGCAGGGCCTTTGGCGATGATCTTTTCGTCCTCACTGTCCACAGGTATAGTGCCGGAAGATTGGTGAGAGGCAAACGTCATTTCCTTGTTCAAAAAAGGGAACAGGGATAACCCTGGAAATTACAGACCAGGTTGTCTTATGTCAGTGGTGGGCAAATTATTGGAAAGGGCTCTGAGAGATAGGATTTATGATCACTTGGAAAGGCACAGTTTGATTTGTGATAGTCAGCATGGATTTGTGAGGGGTAGATCATGCCTCACAAACCTTACTGAATTCTTTGAAGAGATGACCAAACACGTAGATGAAGGTGGAGCAGTGGATGTGGTATACATGGATTTAAGTAAGGCGTTTGATAAGGTTCCCCATGGTAGGCTCATGCAGAAGGTAAGGAGGCATGGGATAGGGGGAAATGTGGCAGATTGGATTCAGAATTGGCTGACCCTTAGAAGACAAAGGGTGGTAGTGGATGGAAAATATTCAACATGGTGCTCAGTTACGAGTGGTGTACCACAAGGATCTGTTCTGGGTCCTCTTCTATTTGTGATTTTTGTAAATGATTTGGATGAAGGAGTGGAAGGGTGGATTAGCAAGTTCGTGGACGATACGAAGGTGGGTCACATTGTGGACAGTGCAGAGGGCTGTTCTAGGTTACAAAGGGACGTTGATAGAATGCAGAGCTGGGCTGAGAAATGGCAGATGGAGTTTAACCCTGAAAAGTGTGAGGTGATTCATTTTGGTAGGACAAACTTGAAAGCAGAATACAGGGTTAACGGAAAGATTCTTGGCAGTGTGGAGGAGCAGAGGGATCTTGGGGTTCATGTCCACAGTTCCCTGAAAGCTGCCACCCAGGTGGATAGAGTTGTTAAGAAGGCGTATGGTGTGTTAGCTTTCATTAATAGAGGGATTGAGTTCAAGAGCCGTGAAGTTATGCTCCAGCTATACAAAAGGCTGGTTCGGCCACATCTGGAGTATTGTGTCCAGTTCTGGTCACCTCATTACAGGAAAGATGTGGAAGCTTTGGAAAAGGTGCAGAGGAGATTTACAAGGATGTTGCCTGGAATGGAGGGAAGGTCTTACGAGGAAAGGTTGAGAGAGCTAGGGCTTTTCTCTTTAGAATGACGAAGGATGAGAGGTGACTTGATAGAGGTGTACGAAATGATCAGAGGTATAGATAGAGTAGACAGCCAGAGACTTTTTCCTAGGGTGGAAGTAGCTTTTACGAGGGGACATTGTTTTAAAGTGAAAGGAGGTAGATATAGGCGAGACGTCAGAGGTAGGTTCTTTACTCAGAGAGTGGTAGGGGCGTGGAACGCATTGCCGGAGAGGGTAGTGGAGTCGGCCTCATTAGGGGCATTTAAGCGACTGTTAGTTATGCATATGGATGATAGTATAAGGTAGCGGTGGAGGTTAGATAGACCTTAGGTTTCGGGTAGAAGTTCGGCACAACATCGTGGGCCAAAGGGCCTGTACTGTTCTATGTTCTAATACTTCCAATACCTCCTATACTCTAATATGGATTGTCTGCAAGATATCGCCACTAACTTCCCCAAGTTCCCAAGTCTTCATGTCTTTCTCCACGGTAAACACAGTTGAGAAGTATTCATTGAGGACCTTGCCCATCTCTTGCGGTTCCACACATACATGTCCACTTTGGTCCTTGAGGGATCCTATTCTCTCTCGTTAGTGTTTTTCCTTAACATACTTAAAGAATCTCTTTGGATTCATGCTAACCTTCTCAGCCAAAATTATCTCATGCCCCCTTTTTGCCCTCCTGTATACCCTATATCTGTCCAGGGATTCCCTTGATCCCAGCTGTCTGCTCCTGAGCCATGCCTCCTTTTCTTCTGGTCAAAGCCTCAATATCTCTTGTCATCCAGGGTTCCCTACTCCTGCCAACCTTGCTCTTCACCCTCACAGGGACATAAAGACCTTGCACTCTAGCTATGACGTTTTAAAGGCCTCCCACTTGCCGGAGGTCCCTTTGCCTGCAAACAAACTACTCCAATCAACCCCTGCAAGCTCCTGTCTAATTCCATCAAAATTCTCAGTGCCCCAATTTAGAACTTGAACCTGTGGACCAATTTTGTCTTTTTCCATAACTATTTTAAAATTATTAGAACTATGGTCACTGGTCCCAAAGTGCTCCCCCACTGTCACCTCAGTCACCTGTCCTGCTATATTTACTGAGTAGGTCCCTCTATATACTGCTAAGGAAACTTTCCTGAACACATTTAACAAATTCCACCCCATAAAAGCCCTTAATACTATGGCAGTCGAGTCTGTGTTAGGAAAATTAAAATCCCCCACTATGACAACCCTATTGCTCCTGCAAGTCTCTCCAGTCTCCCTGCATATTTGTTCTTCTAGGCCTACAGTACAACCCCAATAATGTCACCATCCCCTTCTTATTTCTTAGCTCCACCCACAAAGCCTCACCAGATGATCCCTCAGTTATTTCATCTCTGACTACTGCTGTGATACTCCCCTTAATCAAAATGCAACTTCCCTTCCCCTCTTCCCTCCACCTTTATCCCGCCCTGCACTAATTCTTTAGTTACGCATTCGTCTGCCATATCGTCCTGTTCTTAACCTCACTAGCACGTGGCACTGGAAGTAATCCGGAGATTACCACCTTCGAGGTCCTGGTTTTTAACTTTTTACCTATCTCTCTGTAATCACTCTGCAGGACCTCATCCTTATCCTACCTTTGTCATTTGTGCCAACGTGCACAATAACTTCTGGCTGCTCACTCTCCCCCTTGAAAACGCTCTGCAGCTGCTCCGAGACATCCTGGACCCTGACACCAGGAAGGAACACACCATCCTGGAATATCGTCTGCGGTCACAGAATCTCTAGTTTGTCCCCCTAACTATCAAATTTCCTACCACTAAGGTCCTGTTTACCTTTACACTTTCCCACTGTACCCCAGAGCCAGTTGTAGTGCCACCAACCTGGCTACTGGTGCTTTCTCCTGATCAGTCATCCCCCCCCCAACAACAGTATACCAGGCCCACAATGATCCGCCCTTCAGAGGTGACTGGTTCCAGGCTCTAATATATGTGCTGAAGTGATGCCTCTCCTTTGCTGTTGCCCTCTGCTGGATCAAAAAAAAATTTGCCTTTTCAAATTTTTTCCCTCTAGAGTTGAAAATGCAGACACACAAAGATCATTTCAGCTGGGATCAAAGACAAAAGTAGAAGGATTAGCTTCTCCAATTTGAGGTGGATGCACTTCCTCTGAGATTTAGTCACTATTTTCGTCAGTCAATTTCTGCTGGGGAGAAAACTTGTCCTCTTCACTGGGGTAGTAGGAACTGCAGATGCTGGAGAATCCTAGACAACAAGGTGCGGAGCTGGATGAACACAGCAGGCCAAGCAGCATCATAGGAGCAGAAAGGCTGACGTTTCGGGCCTAGACCCTTCATCAGAAACGTCAGCCTTTCTGCTCCTATGATGCTGCTTAGCCTGCTGTGTTCATCCAGCTCTGCACCTTGTTCTCTCCTCACTGGGGTGTGTTTTTGTTGAAAGTCTCCCTAAATGTCTGCTGTTGCTTCCTTACTGTCATTCCTTCTAATTTATCAGTCCAGTTCACTTGAACTAAGTCTATCCTCATTTCATTGTCATTCCCATATTTAAATTCAACACAGTTGTTGAGAATGAGGGTGAAAGTGAGATAGCAATGTTGGCTGTAGATAGGGAGTCTTATCTTACTGTTGTAAGCTCTCCTACAGTGCAGGCATCGATTGCAGTCTGATGGAGGATGGATTGTTAATATTAACAGCTATCCTCTTTATTTTCTATCGCTCTCGATGTTCTTTTTGTGTTTTCTCTTGATAATTGGAATTGATAATAAATCGTCAGCTTCCCATCTGCCGAAGTTGATAGAGCACATTTTCATGGAGGCTTTCGGCATTGTCTCTAAAATGTTTCCTTTGCTCAGAGTAAAGCCCCCGTGTGGGCAGTCTTGATCTGGGCGTCCTGACGACGTTCACCGTCCATCACAGCTGATGTGAGATTGTCATGACCTGTGTACTTGACAGACATGTCTTGGAGGGAAGTGGACATCCGAACTCTCCGGATGGGTAGCGTGGTTAGCTTCACTGTTACACCAAATTAGGGGCCTTGAATGCACCATCACGGTCCCGAAGGCAGATTCTACCTGAACAAAAACATCTTGAACACACACACTATGTCTTTCAGCGTTGTTGATAAATCTGAGAATAGGAACTCCGGAGTTTAATGCATAGGCAAAGTGGAAACTGCATCCCATGCTCAGATTTAGCAATGCAAAGGTTATGAATTAAAATGAATAATACATGGATAGGTGCAAATTCTTTAGGTGACCTCTTACCTAGTACTTGCATTCAGGTGAAAGTCCCTTCAGCGTTGACCGTGACCTGAACTGCGGTCGCTTAGCAGACATTGATTGAGATTTGGAGTGACGTCTGTCCCGGCAGCGCTCGCGCAGATGTTCCGGTTTCTCCGCCGTTGCCGCTGCTATACCTGCAATGGCGGCCTTCAGCAAATTAGTGACAGCCAAACATTCTGCGCTCGGAGCGGCCGCTGTCTTTGTACTCTTTGCGTTGAGTAGAAGACGGGGCAGAGGCACATTGCACAGGTACAGGATCGCGCTTGCTGTTACTGACCATTCGAAAGCCGGATTCCCTGTCGCGTGTTACTCGAGGCCGGGGATTTAAAAACGGCCTAGTCATTTCAATCTGGAAAGACAGGAGTGACAGAAGCTGACAAACATGACAGTACATTGATTGAAGGAAAGGTCGGCCCCACGATCCTCTGTAATTTTGTTATCTTTGTTGTGCGATTTGTTTTACTTCATCGGTAATTGGTTATTGCTTTGCTGTAACTACTGTCGAAAGCAACCTTTCTAAAGCATTATTTTAATTCATCCTCTCTTTGGATTTTACCAATAATTGATAAAACTGTCATTTGCAATATTTTGTTCGCGATTGCTGAAAATGTAATGCTTTCTCGCACTTAAACCTGGCAATTTAATGGTCCAACTACTCAGCTTCATTGTTAATTCGTACAGCTTAGAGAACAGCGTCGTAACTCTTCACATTTGGTTATTGCTTGATTACTTAGCGGTGATTGTTCCCTTTATTTCGTGGGATGTGGTATTGCTGGCATGAAAATTTGTTGCCCACCCCTAATTGTCGTTGATCTTTGTGGCTAACTGGAGCATTAGCCATTTTCTGGAGTCTCATGTCGGCCAGAATAATGACTGCAGATTTTCTTCCCTTAAGCGCATCTAGTGAACCAGTTGAGGTTTTTTTTACAACAGTGGAGTTGTGAAATTAGCTTTTATCGCCAAGTTTGAGCATCGGTCTGGGTTCTAGTCTAGTGACATTGCCATTATTCCACCACCCCTCCTGTGATTATTGATTGAATACTTGTTCTGGGTTCAGGACCCCAATGTTGAATGAACTTCCAGGCCATGATTCAGCATTGATTTATGTTGTTTGATGTTATAATCTGATTTTTGATGAGCTGGCCAAGAGTGCATGTTCATTGAAATAAAATCAAGAACTGTGGATGCTGGAAATCTGAAACAAAAACAGAAATGTTGACCTGAAACATCGACTCTGTTTTCTCTCCACAGAATCTGCCAGACATGCTAAGTTACTCCAGCAATTTCTATTTTTGTTGTTGCATGCTCACTGTATATTTAAGATGGCAGGCAGGTGGGTAGGCTTTCAAATCTGTAGGATCAGCAGGAGGCACTCCAGCACAGAGATTGGGAAATGCTGGTACCTCTAATGTAGATTGGAGAAGGAGAAGTCACCTCAAGATGGAAGTGGCAGCTGAAGACATTTTGAAAAGTTTTAATATTTATTTTGGTATTAAAAAAAATTCTTCAGCCCCCCCTCTGGGGCTTTTGCCAACTGTTTTAAATTTGTACCCTCCAGTTACTGACTCTCCTGCCAGTTCTGGGAAGCATCTGATCAGGTCCTGTGGTAGAGGTGAGTACAATTAGAACACTTAAAAGACCTTTGGTACATGAATGGCAAATGGGACTTGTTCAGTTTTGGAAACCAGCTCAGCATGGACAAGGTGGGCTGAAGGGTCTGTTTTTGTGCAGTATAACTTTGATATCTGTGCTGTAGTGTCCCTCTGGGGCTTGGAAGATGGCTTAAACTTTCTATTATGACACTTTACTGAGATTCCTCCTTTGTAAGCATTTTGGTATAAAAAAACTGTTTGGACATGCTATGATCCTCACTGCATCGTAGCCGGTGGTAGGTCTTGAAACCAGATTTTCTAGAACTGTAGTATATTTTACTGTTTTAGCACATTATCAGTTAATAAGGTCAGGTATTTTGGAGGCTGGAAGTATATTAGTAACTGGAAGGATTGTGAGTATAAGGAAACATAGAATAAGTGTTTGAAATGAAAATATTTGTCAATATTTTCCACCCTCATTTCATTGCCATACGTGCTTACTTCCATCTCCAGTCTCCTAAGTCACTCTCACTGTCGACTAAAATCACATTTAAACTTGTAATGTCTCTTGACTTGATATTTCATAATGTGCCATGTTCCAAACCTCTTCCTCCTCAAATTTCTGCCTGAAGCAGGCCCTTGGCAAATATTCGGTGAAGAATGGCAAAGTACTGTCATTTTTGTTTTGATTATGGGTAGACCGCAAAGGCAGATCCCTAGTCCATCTGTTAAATCTCCTCTTAACCTTTTCTGCTGTAAGATGAGCAATTCTCCCATCGTTAGTCTCTCCATAAAACTGAAGTACCTCATCCCTGAAACCATTCCAGTAAATTCCCTGTTTTATCTTCTCCACGACTTTTGCATTCAATATTTTGGTTAATGTAGAATTAAAAGCACGATTCCAGCTGAGGCTGAACCAGTGATTTTTCAAAGGGTTAGCACAAACTTCCTTGCTTCCATAATCTGTCACTTTGATAAAGCCGGTGATCTGAATACATTTTTTTAACAATTTTCTCAACTTGTCCTGCCACCATATTAAATGTGAACCCTCACATCTCTCTGTTTCAGTAGCCCTTTAAAATTTTGCGTTTCGTTCTCCTTATTCTTTGCACAACAAAAAAAAGCATTCTTTCACACATTGCCTTGTCCAGCTTTCCACCAATTTTATGCAACCTTGAAGTTTCTTTCACTAATTATTACATTTCCAAGTTTTATGTCAGTTGTAGATTCTGAAATTATGCTACCTTTACCCGAGATTCAAGATCAGTGTCCCTGAGACACACCACTGCAAACCTCCATTTGAAAAATGAAATTTGACCACGACTCTCTGATTTCTGTGTCAAACAACTTTGTGTCCACACAGTCATTATCCACATAATCTCATGTCTTCAGTTTTATTAGCAAGTCTGTGATGTGATTCTTCATCAAACATTTTTGAAAGTTCATATATGTAATTTTAAATTTTTTCCCTTAATCACCCCTCTCTATTGTTTAATCAAAAAGTTTAAATTACTTTATCAGCTGTGATTTAACAAATTCGTGTTAGCAATTATTTATTAACCAATGCATTTCAAAGTGAAAATACACTTCTCGGATGCTAGATTCTTAAAGCTTCCTTGTTATCAACACTCAGTTTCACCCAGTACTGTCCCTGCACTTTTATAACAAAGCATGTGCCATTTTCAAACTTTGATCCTCTGGCACCATTCCCATATTGAAGAAACATTGAAAGACTTAGGCTAGAATCATAGTTCTTTCAGTTTCACCAGTTGACATCAGCAACATCCAACGATGCCCTTTGCCTCCACAAGGTTATTTTCTTTTTGGTCCTAATTGACCCTCCCCTTCTTTTTGTGCCTTTTGAATTCCTTTTAGCTTTTTAGTTTCTTAATTGCATCACCAGATATGTAATATCCATCAATTATAGGTCACCGGCTAAGTGCCACGTTGTTTTATGTATGCCAAAGCCTGTATTTACATAATTGATCATATTCCTGTAGAAGGCCGGTATTATGATCTGCCAGTGACAGTTGGTATGACTTTGCAAGATCTTCAAAGCATTTACGAAGACCGTCAAGAAGATCAGGAGCAGTGAAATGTTGTTACTGATTGCTTTTATAACATAATACAATGGTTGAACAAATAAAAGTCATTGTTGTTTCATTGATTGTTAAGCAGATTTTGGTTTGGAGAAAAGTTCACTTGTAACTTTCACACACTGTTCATGTATAAGAATGGGAAGTTGGAACCAACAAAATATCATCATTTAGTGTAAATTCACTTTGAGTGGGTAAAGGTTTACATACCTGGAACAAATGCTGCATTTCTGTCTGTCCTGTACTATTTACAATAAGTACTACAGCCATATTCTTGATGGCTGTTGCGATCAATGCAACAGGGGGAAAAAAAAAGAGGATAAAATAAAGTAGTTGGAAAGTCAACACTCATTTTGCCCCCTGTGATTTATCAAGATATTTGCATTTATGGAATGAAAGTGCAGGCTAGGTGGATTACTGATGATAAATGTGGGGTTATGGGGAGTGGGTCTGGCTGGGATGCTCTTTGGAGAGTTGGTGCAGACTTGATGGGCCGAATGGTCTCTTTCTGCACTGTAAGAATTCTATGATTCTATGATCTGACGGCCAAAGATAAAAAAATCTTGTTCAGACTATTGTGTGTTTAGTTTAATGGAACAATTGATATTTAGAGTTCAGTGACACACTGTTCCAAATGTTACATAATTTTGTAAGCTGTACCTAGATTGCCATGATGGCACATTTCCTATTTTTGAAATCAACTCTTGCACAATGCCACGTTTTAAAAAATCAGTACAAATATTTTACATAGCAAATAATCTACCATACTTAAAAACAATTGTACAAAACCAGTGTGATTAAATGAATATGCCTGTTAAGATATCGGTCTCTTCAGAGAGAATGCATATATATAATGCATATATTAACCTAGTATTTGAATATTTGAAATCTCTGATTTCTTTACACGATCATGATGTGATGTTGGTTAATTAGTCATTAAGACGTTACATCTTTATCACAAATAAATAATAGGACCATAAAGACGTAGGAGCAGAAGTAGGCCATTCAGCCCGTTGAGTCTGCTTCATCATTTATTGACATCATTGTAGATCTGATAATCCTCAACTCCATTATCCTGCCTTTTCCCTTTAAACCTTGATTCCCTTGCTGATTAAAAATCTGTCCATCTTAGCCTTGAATATACTTAATAACATAGCCACAACAGTGGCTGCGGTACAGTATTCCACAGATTCATTACCGTCACCTCATCTCTGTCTTAAATGTGTGACCCCTTATTCAAAGATTATATCATTTGGTCCTGGACTCTCAATTAAGGGAAAACAACCTATCTCCCTCTACCCTGTCAAGTCCTCGAAGATGACTGTATGTTTCAGTAAGGTCGCCTCTCATTCTTCTACGTTTCAGTGAATACACACCCGACCTATTCAGCCTCTCCCCATAAGACAGTCGCTCCGTACCTGGTTTCAGCCTAGTGAACCTCCTCTGGACTGACTGCAATGCCAGTATAACTTTCCTTAGGTGAGGGGTCCAAAACTGCTCACAGTATTCTAGCTGTGTTCTGACTAGTGACATGTCAAGTTTTGACAATTTCCCAACTTTT